TGTCGTGGGATATGACAATTTTGTTCCTGACGAGGGTTAGCTTACGCTCAACCTCGTAATAGTATTGCATGAGGCTTTGGTCACTTTGGCGAACTGCCTCATGCTGTTGTCGCAACGGCCTTGTCTGCGTAGGAGCAGTCTAATCTTGCCAGAATGGCATCTAAATTAAGTACAGTGTTGTGTGATACCAGCAACGCTCGCGCTGGGCCCCTAATTTTATTCCTGATTATGGTAACGGCTTGATAATGGGCACAGCTGCCCTGGTAAGGTTTAAAGAGTTCGTATGCGTCCGTGGCGGACTGCCTCCACGCTACGTACTCGTCTTGCTCACCGTTAAAATCTGGTACTGACTTAATTACGTGGAGCGGTATGTCACATGGGGGTGCTCCTGGTTGTGCTGAGACTCTTTGGTAGGCCTCCACCTGTGGGGTCCTACGCGCATGTTTTGTAACTGCATATTAACGGAATTGATTTGAGCTTCAAATTCAGCTCGGAGCCTAGCTTCCTGTTGCGCTAAGGCGCCCTGGATAATGTTTTGCAATTCGTTCGCGTTCATTTTGTCTTCTTTCTCTTTGATTTGAGCCTGTCTTGGTCTAAAACCAGGGATTTCTTCTTCACTATCACTCACGACTTCCTTTTTAATTTCTCTATACGGACCTGGAAAGTTCATTAAAAACTTGAACTTATGCCATCTAATTCATACGAGGTTCAATACCTATAGCCGAATTTTCCGTTCAGCTGGCATTACACTTTAATATACTTTATACTTATTTAATTTATTCAAATATATTTTCACAAAAATAAAAAAATTTTATATGAGCTGCAGGTCACAAATGCAGCTTTATTATTATATATAATTATTTTTTTTTTAACGTGTGCAAGTTATATTTGTTTTCTCCAATTATAAGGCGCACTTTTATTGTATGCAATTTGGTGTATGTTTGTTGAAGTCGTATGTTAATTAATCAGCCCACTTACATGTTTTGAGGGTCCCTATTTTATTTTGTTCGTTATCTTGTAGTCGGTTGCCCGGTGGTAAGGCTGTTCCAGATACGGCCGATGATGAGGAGGTGGCAACGGTAGGGTGCTTGATGAGTAGTAGCGGTTCAAGATAGGTGAGAATTGGCGACCGGGCTGCTGGTCACAGGTGGCCGCTGATGGTGTGCCACCGGTAGGGTGGGTGATGAAGTGTAAAATAAAGTGTATGTCGAGAGGGTGACTGCTTCCCTATACCCCTGGCCTTAAGCTCAGTGAGCGAATGCAAATAATAGGACGGCAATACCCGGAGTAATGTTTACGGAGCTAAATGCTCTTTATTCAAATGATTATAAAACAGAACTGAGGAACTTAGCAGTAGAGTGCTTAGTCGGCAGGCCGACCGTATGACTGTGGGAAATGCTGACGATCGCAAAATGAGCATAACTCACCATACCGGCAACCAATGGGATCCAGGCACGACCCCCAAAGGTGGGTATGCTGAGTCGGCATCTAGAAAGACTAGGGTGATCGAAGAATCACCCAAGATTTCTACCGGCTGTTTTTTACCTTTCAGGAGTGTTAACTTACACAACGAACGGAACCTGAAACTGTTTGCGGTGGTGGGTAAACTCCAGAGTTCGCTTGTGTAATTCCGTTAGCCTGGAGACTGTTCCGCAAACATATTTCGTGCATTAAAGCAGCATCCTCAGATCCAGAGAAATTCAGACAAACATTACACAACCATTGCGATCTTTTTATTTTTTGTTCTTTTGCCTTGTCAATAATTTATGGAAATCCATTAAAATTTTATTTAGTATGTTTTATCTATAAATAAATATATATATGCTGATATGAACATATAATGTCCATTTCCACCATCTTCCAAAAACAGTATGTTTACGTGACATGGTTTCTCAATCTTCGATTGAAAAAGCGGCCAAATTATTTGTTTGGTATCAGGGAACGTCAAGGGGTGTGTCGCACTCATGAACAGCAAGAAAAGAGCATTTGCACAGATCGCTTTGTGCGTTTTGAGTGTTTGCGTTTTTGACACCCGCTCAATTCTATGCACATGATCCTAATGCACAGACACCCGACACACTCATAGCAAATGAAGCGAGTGTCTGAGACACCCGGGAAAAGTGTCGGGTGTCTTGAAATGATTCGAGTGTTTCGGCTGTCTTCAACTGATCTGAGTGTTTCGGGTGTCTTCAGCTGTATTGCATGAGCAGGTCATTGAGAATTGACCGAATAATTTTACATTAAAGGAAGGAAGGAAATCCCAATAATTTAACATAAATATAGCCCATTGAAAAAGTCAAAATAATTTGTTTTCCGTTTGGATTAATTTTAATCTTAGAAAAGAATATTTGTAATAATAAAAATTATTGCCGTCTTCAGTAACTAATATTAAAAAATAAGAGTTTATAATCATTACAAGTCTTCAATGACAAAGTCTTAAAAAACCCAAAAAAACTTACATTGCATCAATATTTTAGAATTTTCCGTCTCGTCATCAAACCATCTACCTGCAAATGTATTCCCGTTTTTTGCAGATGCGTATAAGAATACAGAGTCAATTGCACTGCAAATAGCAGGTAGATGACCTGACACGGAAAATCCTAAAATATTGTTTTAAGGTTTTTTAAAATATGTTTTAAGGGACCATTATTGGGATTTCCCTTCTTCCTTTCATGTAAAATTATTCGGTCAACCCTCAATGACCTGCTCATGCAATTCAGCTGAAGACACCCGAAACACTCAGATCAGTTGAAGACACCCGAAACACCCGACACATTTCAAGACACTCGAATCATTTCAAGACACCCGACTCATTTCAAGACACTCGACTCATTTTCAAGACACCCGACTCACTTTTCCCAAAAACATGGGTGTCTCAGACACTCCCTTCATTTGCTATGAGTGTGCCGGGTGTCTGTGCAAAATAGTACTGGGTGCGCAAATGCACATTTGAAATGAGCTTGTGCAAGACACACGCCCTTATTGTAGGGTGCCGATCACACTCTGAGTACCGAAAAGGCACACATGATTCGAGTACACTCATTGTCTGGGTGTACCCTTGCCGTTCTCTGTTTGGTATGTTCATTATACCCAAAGATGTTTATACTCATGTAGAGATTATTCTTTAAAAAATGTTTCACACATTTTATTTTCATAGGGAAATTTAGATTGGTGAAATCCAATATTAATCCATTGTTCAAGTATATTTTTTTATTGGATATATCAACGTTATAGGAACTACATCTTTGGGGGTTTTTGCATTTGTTAAGGCCGATATCATGGCCCATTTAAAACAGTATGCATCATTTTTACTACATACGTTAATAATAGCTTTCTTCGAAGCTAAGAATTTTGGTAGTGGGATATATGATGAACCTGATAAAGGTGTATATTTTTTCACATTCATTTCTAGGCGCATTATTTTAACTTATGCTCACCAGCTATCTTTTTCTTGGAATTCTTGTGTTTTTGTTACTATTTCCATAGTATGCTCAAGAAAAATAGATTCCAAATCCGAGTACTGATTCAAATTACTCATTTTACTTTTAAAACTATTAATCTCAATTTCATCCGTTTCATTCTTAAAGAGTATATATTCGGCAAATAACTCGAAATTTACTTTAACCGATATATAACTCTCTAATATTGTTCTGAGATGTGTGAGCAAAAACGAGCCTGCTTCACTCATAAAGTTTTCAGGTAATTGGATGTCCGATCCATCGTTTACATACATGTAATGGAGAATCCTTCATTTAAATCCATCGGAAATTTTCTTGATGTGTCCATCGACGGGTTGAATTGAATTCTTCTTATGCATTTCCGTGTGGACATGCTTTGTCCACTTGTTGTTAATAACAGACAATTTACACGAATGACAAAACTCGAACTGGTTTATATATTTTTAGTCCTTTTTATTTAATTTTTATTTTAAAAATATTTATTTGAGTTTATATATTTTATGCACCTTCACTACACTTTTACTTTATGGTGTCTTTTGGTGTCTTTTTGCACTATAGAACGATTTGGAAGAATTAACTAAATTCTCCGATTTATATACCCGTTACTCGTTTATACCATCCCTTTGTCTTGAAGTAATCTTCAAAACTTGGAAATTTTAATAAACCATTTGAAACTTTCTTCAAGACGTTCCCAATCCTCCTAAGACATTCCCACAGTCAGGAATAAACAAAAAAATGCAATTCATGGGTTCATGATTTCTATGTCAAAACAAAGCTCTGCCACATTCGGTGCGTGCGCAACGGATGCCGTAACATGCTCCTACAAAATATTTACAAATCAGATGCATGAGTGTGAAGTGACACTTTATTAGGATAAACAACTTTCATCAGAATCCATTCTGATGGCAGGGACCTAGGGGTGGTGAGGGGAAATCATAATGACAAAGAGACAGACTGACACACTGACAGACATGGAGAAGGAAAAAAGGAAAGGGGGAGGAGTGCTTGTGACAACTTGAACCATTGTTATCACTTCGCCAGAATCTCTTCCATATTGGAACTAATGTAATCACAATTCCTACTAGATCCTATGAACTAAATGATATAACTGATTATATTTATAGAAACCTTAAAGATTACGGTATTGAAAAATCTTTTAAAATTGAAAGCAATTCATCTAGAAATAACCAGCAGTCGAGAGCCGGTTTACTTTAATAAGAAACGATTCTGATGGAAGGGACCGATAGACAAATAATGGGATGCGGGGTGGGGGAAATTTAATTGAAATCATTAATGTCACAGTTAATTGATAAAAATCAATAATGTCACATTTAATTGCCCATAAATCTGGCCCAAAACCCGCATTTTACAACTACTCTTAATCCCTTTATATCTCTTATAGTTCATTATATCGTATCGTTCATACAGACAGACTGACGGATGCACGGACATTACAAAATTCACTGAGCTATTAATCATGACTAAGTTCACTCTACTAGTTACGAGTATAAAAATAATACTTACCTCAGCTGCATAAAATTTCATTTCATCTTCATTAAAAACTCCATGTTGAGATAGGTGGTAGTGCAGGTCACCACCGTTCATTAAGTCTAATATAAAACAAAGTTTATCCGGGGTATGAAATGCATATGTCATGCAAACAATAAACGGACAATCAATCTGAGGAATATATATTTAATTCAGGGAATACAATTTTTTACAAGAGAATGTGTTAAAAAAATCTTACTCCAGTGCTGACTGCCTGTAACATGTTTCGTTCATTTAATGCTAGCATCTCTCCTTGTTTCATCTTAATTCGTTTTTTGTCTAAGCATTTCATAGCATACATTTTTCCAGTATCTGCTTTTCGGCATCCATACACTTCTCCGAAACCTCCACGTCCTATTATCCTATGCACACTGAAATCATTCATAGTTAGCTGAAACATATTAAAAAATAGTTTTGTCAGAATATATGATATATTTTCTATAGGGCTTAAGAAAACAACAGTTAATAAACGTAAATATCCTGATTGGAGAATGGGTAATCGAAGAACACATTTTCAATAAAACCTATTGAATCAAAAAATAAGAATCTCATTTCATCCATTTATAAAAAAAATATTATTTAGAGAGCCAGGTTCTCCAAAGACATGGTATTTGACGAAAATCAATTACTCTTTATATAAAAAGGATATTAAACTACTATTGAAGACGCAATCTCCATCACAGGCCTTAACTGGTCGAGTTAGTACAGCTATACCATACTTATTGCAATATTTGCTAAATGTATTACTTAATGCTTTCGGAAAAGACGGATAATCTGCAGGCCTTGCCAACCGATTAGATTATATTCAACACCTACTTAAATTCATTTACAGGAATGTTGACTTACACCATGTCAAAAATAACTTTTAGGCATATACAGCTGGTTGGCTATAAAAATAATAAAGAATTCAGTAGTAATTATACCCGTTACTCGTAAAAGGGTATATTATATTCGTTGAAAAGTATGTAACAGGTAGAAGGAAGCGTTTCCGATCCTATAAAGTATATATATTCTTGATCAGTATCGATAGCGAAGTCGATTAAGCCATGTCCGTCCGTCTGTCTTTCCGTATGAACGCTGAGATCTCAGGAACTATAAGAGATACAAAGTTGAGATTAAGCATGGAGATTCTTGAAGTTCACACGCAGCGCAAGTTTATTTTTGCATGCTGCCACGTCCACTCTAACGCCACAAATCAGGAAAAACTGAAACCGCTGTTATCTCAGGAACTATTAGAGATAGAAAGTTGAAAAAGTTGAAAGTCAGATGCCAGCGCATCTTATGGTGGTACCATTATCCGGACACACCTACTCTTACGTCCACCAAGCTATAAAGACGGCTTTCTCATTTTCTAGAAAAGCTGATATCTCGGCAACTAATGACAAAGAGAGACAAAGAGATAGACTGACCCACTGACAGACATGGAGAAGTGAAAAAGGAGAGGGGTGTTTGTGACCACAAACTCTGAAATTTTAATAAACAACAAAAAATTTAATCATTGTTATGATTTCTGTGCGTAAACTGTTTATGGGGTGGGGGGCCAAAAACTCAAAATTTTAATAAAAAAGGGAACATTATGAACATATATTCTAATCTAGAAAAAATAATGAGAAGAAAATAATAAATACAAAAAGTACTTCAGACTATATAAACTTATAACAGATTGATGAGTCAGGAAAGAAGATAACTGCTTTTAGACAAATAATTAATAATTTCATCATATATTAAGAACTAAAAATCAAGGCAGAAAAACAAAAACACTGAAATAAAGAAACAATAAATTAAACACATTTTTTTTGTTAAAGTAACGTGCGCACCGGATGCCGTAACATGCACCTAAAAGTTGCTTAAAAATCTGATGCATGAGTGTAAAGTGACACTTTAAGGGCCCGACAGACAGATATTGGGTTTTTGGGTGGGTCAAATTTAATTGATAAAAACAATTAATGTCACAGTTAATTGATAAAAACCATTAATGTCACATTTTATTGCCAATAAATCTGGCCCAGAAGCCTCATTTTACTACTACTGTTACTACATAAGAGACTACAAATGTACATAAACTCGGTCGCAAAAAACATTGTGCTAAAAATGTAATTTGAATATTCAAGTTTCATAGTTTATCTAAAATGAATGATGAGTTCTATGCCATCCAAATAAAAAAACTTTCAGTAGTATTTGATAAGCCAATGTATTTGGGTTTTGCTGTATTGGACTTATCAAAGTGGAATATGTATGATTTTTATTACCAACACATAACACCCAAGTTTCAAGCAATTTTAGCTTTAAATTATATTGACTACATATGAACCATTAATGATGTTACATTCCATACCAATAGTATTAATTTTTAAAATATTGACAGTCTGATATATATATATGTTTTTGTTGGGTGTGGCTCTGAAACTCAGTTACATCATTTCGTTCATAGAATCCAGTAGGAATTTTAAATACATTAGTTCCAATATGGAAGAGATTGTTTTTTTCGTCTATATTTGGGATTGAATTACATATTAAAATCAATTAATGCACACTCAAAAAGTCCATCCAATTCGATTGGTGGGAAATAGTTTGTATTTATAATAGAACTATTTCCATTCAAAGACGAGGTTACTGTTCTAGACATAATGAAATCTGTTGTTGAACTGTCGAAATGTTTGTTTTTCAGTCTACTTTTATACCAAATCTAATAACTTTTTAAATCAAAATAAACTGATCAAAACCTTTTCTATATCTTCCATTATCCATATCGTTATCTTTACTTATAAGCAAGAATCCAAATTTATCCTCCCAACATTTGTTACAAATTTCCACGAATGTGTCGTACCCCATATCTATATTAATATGATCTCTATATATATGTCGCATATCGTCTTGTTTAAACATTATAATAAAGTTGGCATTGTCACGAATCAAGTGCTTAGGTATATGGGTATATATTTGACATAAATAAAAGAAATCAATATTGTTATGACGACCCATAAAAAAAAAGATCTCATATTTTCTTGTTTTTCACAAGCTACATTATCAAATATCATTATAGAATTAGTTTTTGCTTCACTGGGGTCTAATACACCATCTTTATGAGAGATAGTATCCCTTTCCTTTAATAGGTTTTGTTAATTTTTTCAAGAACTCATAAATATTCTCCAATTTTAATCCGTTTGGACTTTCTATAAAACTGAGCATAATGTTTGTTTTACTACAATTTGAAGGTCCAACAATAAAAGCTCTTATTGTATTCGGTAAAAGAGAACTATGTCGTGGAGAGTGCTTTTTATCGTTTTCATCGTTGATATTTCTAACGATATTTTTTTGTTTTCGACTTATTAAACGCATTCTTTAAGCTAATGTACCTCATTCGATGAAAAATTTTTGATGATTAAACTCAATATAATCGGGAAACGTTTTTGTAATCAAGTAATTAGTCTTTTTAATTGTAAAACGAGGTGGTGGTCTTGTCAACCACTTAATTAATACATTACCGTTTGAAGCCCATATACCAGGATATAAATTTTGTGGGTCGGGTACAAAGCTAGAAAAACGTTTGAAACGAGGTGATCTAGAAATAAATAAACTGGATGAGGCTTGTAAAGAACACCATATAATTTGCCATTTCCATAAAAAAGAGTACTTGAACGTCACATTGCCGATTCTATATTAATTGATAAAGCTTGGTCACGTGTAAAAGCACTCTTGGTGAAAAAGCAGCAGCATATTTGGTAACCAACATTATGAAAGCAAAAAAAAATTTGGATTAGGAATATTAAAAACAAAAAAGAAATGTAATGGAAAGATTAGGACAAAAGTAAAGATGACGAATCTGTCGACTGTTATTAACGCTGCTACTAGATTATTAAAAAAAACAAAAGCCATTGGGCATTATGAGTGCAATTAAAATTGCACGAAAATCAGTTCAATCGACAATGGGTTCAAAGAAAAACGTGAAAGTACCAAGAATAATAAATGTACCCAAAAATGGTGTTTTTTTTACCAATCGTACCTATTTTGACTGCTCTTAGTGCAGTTCTATATAGATATCGGAAGAAGCTTATGAAATGTTTACATGGCAGGATTGCCATGAAATATAAAACAGACTTGTTGTACTCGGTTTTATTCTTTATTTCAGGAAGCAGCAATGGTACAGCTCCCAGGCTTGAATTGATTGTGTTCTTACAATATTCTTTTAAGTCTAATTAAGGCTAAGTCTCGTTGCTGCGCTGCTCGCAGGCGGCGGCAAAGAGACGGATATCTATGTACTTATGTATATTAACATATGCCCTCTTATGTGAGGAGCATTAGGGGTATGCATGCATAAATATGTCGACGCTAGCATTTTCTGCGAGTAGCCTAAGCCATAGCGATCGGTTCATAATTCGGCCACTTGGGGTTTATGACCGGGACCATGAATTATGTAAGCACTGCAACAAAGTGTTACAGTGCGTACCCTTTAAGAACTCGGTACAGTGGGTATTCAATATTACTGCATACTACACTTAACCCAGTTACCCAATTTTTCACCAATTGTAAAATACATAAGACAAAATTTCCTCTACGGTGTTCCCTAATAATAATAATAATAATAATAATAATAATAATAATAATAATAATAATAATAATAATAATAATAATTTGTTTAAGCTATTTGTAATATTGGAAAACTCAAATTTCGAGGTATATTGTAATACTTTAACGTATGTTTAACCTTCAGTAATAAATAAATAGTTGAACCTACAAGTTGTCTTATTCAATGGAGTCATTCAAGGGTTTGTTTGATAATGATACACTCAAAAGTGGATACACACAACTGATTTATTGTAATTATTGTGGATCTGATACTCACTTCAGAGAAGAACTGCTCTAAAAAATGAGATCAGGAAAAACATTAATAAACCTAATGCAGTTTAAGGATAAAAAAATCTCTTTCAAATAAAATAAAATATAATAAGAATAAAAAAATGCATGGGTTCATAATTTCTGTGCCAAAACAAAGCTCTGCCACATTCGGTGCGTGCGCAACGGATGCGTAACATGCTCCTAAAAGATGTTTACAAATCAGATGCATGAGTGTGAAGTGACACTTTATTAGGATAAAGGGACCGACAGACAGATAATATGTTTTGGGGTGGTTGATGTGTCACAGTTGATTGATAAAAACCGTTAATGTCACATTTAATTGCTCATAAATCTAGTAAAGTAGCCGCTTTTTACTACTACTGTGGTTAAGGTAGAGAATTTACCAAACCTGCCAAAAATTAAAATTCCCACCTTCTTTGTGGATTCCAAAGAATGGGATTTGTTTAATGAGCTCTTCACAGAGCTCATTCATACAAGAGAGGATCTCAGTCATTCTCTTAAAGGCAGCGTTAAAAGGAGAAGCCAGGAATGTAATTACCCGTTTGTTGGTTCTGAGGAAAATTATGAAGCCACTTGGGATTTCTTAACCAAGCGGTATGAGAATAAAAGG